TCCCTCAAAACCAATTGTTAAAGGAGAACTATGGGGTCAGTGCTTTTCCCCATAGTTCTCTTCAGGGTCATGGGAGGACATAAACTAACGTCCTCCCGTAACCCAAAGCTCAGTATACCGCAAGATACAGCTCACGGTATACTGAGACAGCCGGGACAGATCCCGACAATACTGTCAAGATCCACCCAGCTGCATGATTGACAGCTGGCTCTGCCTATCTAGAGGCAGAGCCAGCTGTACCCTCCCCCGTCCGTTCCTCCAGTCGGCGCTCGAGGATCGGGGAGGGGGGAATCCCTGCAGGGGGCGGTGAGTGACGGTCACTGCTCTCTGCAGGGACAGGATTGAGAAGTGAGCGAGCGCCGGTATGTGTTCGCTCACTTCCCGATCTATTGAGCCGACGTGTGACCGTTTCACTGCCACACTTCAGCTCGAACTATGAGGATGAGTGAAAATCACTCACCTCATAGTTCTCCTTTAAGCCTGATTGGTTGCTGTGGGAACTCTTCTCTGTGGGAAACTATTTTTTATTTTGTTTTCAGCCTATGATATTCTGTAAATGATGGAACTTCGATTTACGTTTTTGGTCTTCTGTTCCGATCTTTCAGTACAATCACAGCCTGGGGTAAAGACCATGAGACGGACGCGTTTAGGCATATTGTGACCCAGTTTTCCTCAGTACCTGTTTCAGTGGTTAGTGACAGTTACGACATTTACAATGCATGTGAGAAAATCTGGGGAGAAGATTTGAGAAGTTTGATTGAATCAAGAAGCGCAGATGCTCCATTAATAATTCGGCCCGATTCAGGAAATCCTCTGGACACTGTTTTAAAGGTAAAACAATAAATCTTTGCTCCTCTGCCTATTTGCTAGAAGCTAAATAAATAATATTTTATGAATCTGTTGTATGTTGATTTTTATGTTTTTTTTTTTTTTTAATTTGTGATTTACAGGTTTTGGATATTTTAGGAAGGAAATTCCCTCTAGAAGAAAACTCAAGAGGTTACAAGGTCTTGCCTCCTTATATTCGTGTAATCCAGGGAGACGGCGTGGATATAAACACTCTACAAGAGGCAAGTTCTCTGTTCTTGTAGATCCTTGCTTTAACAAATGATCGTTTTATTGGTTATACCGTATTCTTGTAAATGCAAGTAATGTGGTTCTAAATGTGGAATGTTGGGCTTTGACTTTAAAGAAGTCCAGGATTTTTTTTTTTTATATTAACCAATGCAGTGGGGCTACCCTTGCACTGTAAGGGTTAGATGCTTGTTTGTGTCTAGGTTTTAAAAAAAAAGTTATACTCGCCTGAAGCTCCAAGCTGGCTTTTTCTTAGACTGTTTCTTGGAATGTCTCTCCCCTCCCTCTGCATCGGTCTAAGGTCTTGTAAATCATAAACATCTATACAGTGTGTATAGACGCGAGGAAGCTTAGGAAGATTACAATGCTACAGGAAGGGAAAGACAGGCTGGAGGGAGTGCTGCAACAGCTGGCTGGCTCAGAGCTTCGGGGGAGTATATATTTTGTTATTTTAACACCTAGACACAAATTAGTGCTTAACCCTTGCAGTGCTGGCTTAGCCCCAGTGCATAGGTTAATAATAAAAAATAAAAAAAAATCCTGCAGTCCATCTAGTGCATAATACTATAACGTTCCTGCATAGTACTCCATGATCAGTATTATTGGTCACACTTACCGTGGCAACCAGCAGGTATATCCTATTTAATCACTTGATGACCAGGGCGTTGAACCCCCTTCCTGGCCAGGCCATTTTTCAGTATTCACCGCTGCAGTACTTTGAGATTTATTCTGCCATGCAACGCTGTACTGAAACTGAATTTTATGCCATTTTTGGGGGGGGACACATTTGGCTTTCCTATGGTGGTATTTAATTACCACTGGGGTTTTAAGTTTTTACCATAGAATGAAAACCTTTACCCACAATTTTGGAAAACCTTTTTTTCACTACCTTATGAAACATTTATATTTACACAAAAATTTTTGGTAAAATATAAAAGATGGGGTCACGTCGGGTGCAGCCTTCTTGCTCCTGGAGGAGTGGGAAGCTAGTGCCATCTAGGGCTGTGCGATTAGTGGGGGAGGCAGATTTCTCTGGGTCATCCCTGTAGATTTGTGGCAGTCGACGTGCAGGCAGGAGGGAGTTATGTGTTGGAGCAGGTTTGTATACAATGGTGGCAGGCTGAATTACAGCAGACAGGTGCAGGTCTGACTTGTTGCACTCCAGCAAATCAGTCGATGTAGAAAATGGATCACTGTACTCCTGGCTTCAGTAAAACTTCCTTTGCTTAAGATGGCAGCAGCAATTCAGCTGTTTTATGTCTTAGGCTGATACTTTCACTAAGGGAAAAACTCGCCAGAGTTGTATCCCTGATTCTTAAATAAAGGAAATTTTGATGAAGTCTGGCCGGCAGTGACCCATTGTCTATGTTGATTTGTTATATTTCTATTGTATTTAACAGTATCATATGGTCCCAAAACTTTTCAGTCAGGGTAAACATTGCTCTGTTTCTTTGCTGGTGGTATTTCAACCACGTATTTTGTCCAGAGAAGGCAACCTTGGCCCTTCACCTGTTCTGGAAATAAGTTGCATGATATTAATGA